ACGGAGGCGGGACGGAGGCGGGACGGAGGCGGGACGGAGGCGGGACGGAGGCCGGAAATAGGCGGTTCGGAGGCCGGATGGAGTCGTGACGTATGCGGAACGAAGACCGGAGGGAGGTGAGATAAAGGCGGGGAATATGCTAGATTATATGCTATATTGCATGTACAAAACATAGTATCTGGGCAAGAGAACAAATAAAAGTATATGAGACGCACGTTATCGCCTAATCATTCTTAATCTCCTTGTCCAACCCGCCAAGAAAAATCGAAATTGATGACGAATTCGAGCTCTGAGTTCCTTATACAATTCTTCTAATGTTTTTATAATGGTCTCTATACGTTCCTCGCAATTAAATGCGTTTTATAGCGGAAGTATTGTAATAAGCCAATTCAAATGTTTTCTAATGTACACCAGAATATGTTTAATCTTTAGTATTGTAATTTCTTTTTGCAGTAACTCATTGCAATGGAAAACAAGCAAATTTATTTTTTCTTAATTTCACAATTTTTCTTTTTTTGTAACTTATTTATTTTGAAAGGAGATACGCTATCTTTTCATTACGTACGATTCCAATTCCTGTCAACAAACATATCATACTGATTTACTTACACACAAGATGACTCATTGGTTTGTAAGTCTTAAAATAGGTAAAATGAAATAAATCCAATCCTAAATTTAATCTGATCAGTATATTTATATTTTGTTTAAGAGTTGTACAGTACACCACGGGCAGAGAGGCGTAGAACTGTCTCTTCATTTTCAGCACGTTCGAGAAAGAAAATATAGTAGCAGTAACACTATTGAATATCCCTAGGAGAAGTGTCCTCCATCTCCAGTAATTAAAATTGCCTCGGATACAATTGTACATTGTATGAAACATTCAATTAAATGTTGTTGATATAAACCTAAATAGTATCATACCGTTTAGTCATGCAGGTTCAAAGTGATTCCAGCGATGAATGCATAAACTGGAGTAAAGTATGTGACACGAATTAGCAAATATATTACAGCAAAGGATATGAGGAGCGACGGGTCTGGTATTGAGATGCTTCAATAAGAGACCACACAACACAGAAAAAATTTAGAAGTTACCTTTGTCATCCATGGTGCGCATAAGAAAAATGCTGGAAGATTATTAACATAATGTGCAAATTCAATTATCAAATAAATGAAGCCCGTGGTTGCTGTTTCTAAACTAGGAATTAATGAGAATTATGCTTTTACATTGTATTTTTAAATGATTATCAGGTGTAGGTGGAAAATAAAGTTTGAAATAACTACGTGAAAAATTGTTTGTGATTAAAATTATTTCATGTTATTAAAATTTCATAATGCAGTTTGTGTTTTCATGGACAAATTTAATTTAATACAATGGAACCTCGACAACTTCAATACCTTGATAGATTTTTTTCAATATCCTTCATCGTATGAAGGAGACACAAAAGTGGTGGTAATGAATGGCAATGCACAATATTGTTTTATGATTGTTCCGTATGTTCCCTAACTTTACTGGAGGCACTGGACATTCACAAACATGGAGACTCGTGTCATCTTTGATAACAATACAGCATTCGTTGAAAAGTGTGAATACTATCATATTATATTATTCTAAAGGAAAGAGATATCTTTCATTTTGTTATGAATGAAATTATGTTTGTGTGAACGATAAGTTTTTAATTCATTTGTACGCGAAATTGTTTCTGTGGGGTACTACGCGGAATTCTAAAACTATTAACTATTCAGTATAGTAAAACGTGGAGGAAGTCCTCTAATTTTGTCACAGAAACTTTTTTTCCGTCTCGTTTTTAAGTCATGTACATTTTTTAAAATACGAGAGATTTTCGCGTAATTTTTGCTTGAAATTAATGCAATTTATGAAACAAAGTTTTCTCAAAAACAGCTTCAAATTTTTTCATGAACAGAGCAAAGGACACTTGGTGTCAGTCCAATTTTCGTGGAATTCTCTAAATTTTAAAAAATTGCAAAAGAAGTTATGCTAGAAAGTATGTGCTGTTGTAGTACCAGTAGTTTTTGTTTAGTTTTGTTCACTCGGTCTTCAATTGCGAAATTCAGACTGTCTGTCATTATTGTGAAACTCCCAAGACCACAAAACAACACAAGAACACCGAACAATAAGCGCACAAAGGCACGACGAGGCAAAGAAATCGCTGAAAATCTGAAGATCACATTGCGCGCACACATTACGTTAACTCTTAGAGACCCTGCAATGAGAGGTAGATACGTAAATACCACCTGGCAACATTGCACTAGAATTTTTGGGTGGTACGTGATACCCGAAGTAATGTAGCGAAGAGCAATTTTGGAAACACGAGGAACATTCACATACAAGTCGTGCATTGCCATTCATCCGTCTATTTCAGTACCTTCTGCAATACGCTATCCTCCGCCCACACACAGAACCTGTTGGCGAGGGTGCGCGAGTTGCTATTAAATCCCCCTGCATCCACTGCAGAGCGCCAGACACAATCCGTTATAAATGAGTACTAAATATTGTTATTGTTTCGATTTGCTCGTATCCATTTTTATGTCGTTTCACCACTGTCAAAGCCAGCCCAACTGCATTTATTTAATAACTGGTCACAGTAACAATTATTTTTGGTAAATGAATATAGTAATAAATGAGTAATAAATACGCCAATTGTTTTTATTTGATTGTGCGGTAGAGGCTCTGCCATATTCACGGCGATCAGAGCGCCATTCCTCAGTAAGGCACGGTCAAAGGCCACACCGAAGATCGCGAGAGTTTAGATTGCGCTCTGCCACGCTTCTGAGATAAGCGTTTGGCAAAACATTTCGCGAAGGACTGCTTTTCGAATCGCTTCCAAAATTTGTCGCGTCTCAAGTGTTTTGTGACATGGACAGATGTGTTAAATCTTTACACGTAATAATGCGTTATGCCCACTTATATTGCAAAAAGTGTACGGCAGAAAAAATTGCTTGGTAATTTCGATTCTCTAAATCTCGTACGTTACAGTATCACTCCGAAGACTCGAAACTCGACATGCCAAAATAATACTTCTCGACATGAGATTCATGTAATATATCTAGATCTTTCCTTTTCCTCCCTCAGATTCGAGCTATCGAAGTTCCAAAGAAACCATTTCTATGAAGGAATGTCCAATAAGTATTTCTAATATAACCTTTTTGGATATCACGACGAAAGATATCATTGCGATTCATATTGTAGAATGTCTTTGGGGAAAAATGGATCGAGAGAAACAAGTAATGAAAAGTGAAGAAAATATGCATAATACTTACGGATTGAAGTATTGCAGGGAGATGCTAATACTCTCCTTGGGCGAAAATATCATCCTCTCAAGTTCCATGCCTCTGTCTTCTGGTTTGGGTGGAAGATCTGAAAGTAGTGTAAAACAGAATATTAACAATAGAGCTCATGTTGACGTACCCATATATGGTCTCGATTTCGTGCTAGAACTGCCGCTGAAAATGGCTTACAGGTTGAGACCCTTAAGGTCACAGCTAATGTGCAGGAAGCGTATTAACGAAGACGTTCATATATGTACATGAAAGTTGTAGAATTGTCGGAGGTGAGGGCGGCGGCGAGGGCGGCGGCGAGGGCGGTGGCGAGGGCGGCGGCGAGTGCGGCGGCGAGTGCGGGGCAGGCGAGCGAGGGCGAGACGGCGAGGGCGGACGACAGAGGCGGCGGACGGCGCGAGGGCGAGACACGGCGAGGGCCGGCGGCGGAGGCGCGGACAGCCGGTGGCGAGGCGAGGCGAGAGAGCGCAGCCGGACATGGGGGCACACAACGCCAATTCGGGAATGCGTGGGTGCTGCATTTGAGATAGACCGAGCGCGCAGTGTGTGGGTGACCATCTCTAAATGCGCTCTATTCGAGACACTC